ACGCGGGGCCCGGAGCGCGTCCGGCCACCGCGGGCTCCAGGCCGGTTCCCAGCTGCTCTGTCTTCGGCGGGAAAACTGCGCTCCGCCGCCGCCTCTTCGCATTTGTTCGTTTCCTGCTCCCAGAGCAGCGGTGTGGGCGCTCAACCGGGCGGCCCCTCCCCGAAGCGGCCTCAGGCAGAAGGGGACCGAGGACCAGTTCTCACGCCGCCTATCCGCTCCCAGCTGTGGGTCCCCCTCCGGGCTGTGGGTCCCCCTCCGGGCTGTGGGTCCCCCTCCGGGCTGTGGGTCCCCCTCCGGGCTGTGGGTCCCCCTCCGGGCTGTGGGTCCCCCTCCGGGCTGTGGGTCCCCCTCCGGGCTGTGGGTCCCCCTCCGGGCTGTGGGTCCCCCTCCGGGCTGTGGGTCCCCCTCCGGGCTGTGGGTCCCCCTCCGGGCTGTGGGTCCCCCTCCGGGCTGTGGGTCCCCCTCCGGGCTGTGGGTCCCCCTCCGGGCTGTGGGTCCCCCTCCGGGCTGTGGGTCCCCCTCCGGGCTGTGGGTCCCCCTCCGGGCTGTGGGTCCCCCTCCGGGCTGTGGGTCCCCCTCCGGGCTGTGGGTCCCCCTCCGGGCTGTGGGTCCCCCTCCGGGCTGTGGGTCCCCCTCCCGGCTGTGGGTCCCCCTCCCGGCTGTGGGTGCCCGAGCATGAATCCAGGTGTTCTCATCTGAAAGAGGGACGTGGGGCCTATGGTGCGAAGCTGTCTCATCAGGGAGACCCAATGGGACATCGTTCTTCCTAATCCTGAGATGTTATTTTTATCATTTCTTTCTTTCAGGAATGTCCAGTCAGATTTCCAGAGGCCGCGTGGACGGAAGGGCACAGGGGCTGCGTGGACGGAAGGGCCAGGGCTGAGAGCTGGACACCGAAGAGGTTTGCAAATACACAAGAGATGTCACTCTTCTCACTACGTCTTTTAGGCAGATAGGTTGTTTTCATAAAAACGTTTATTTAACTGCAGTGGGCTCTTTTAAAAGGAAGGAATAAACATGGTTAGTTGTTTCTTCACTTCAGTGTCATGTGGTAAAGGCCTGTAGCAGAGCCTTCCCGTGGCTGGAGACCACGCAGCTGCTCGGTGACAGGCCCTGGGACCCCTCGGCAGTGGGTCTGCCGGAGGCGCCGCGACTTCCTCGTGGGCCCTGCTCAGTGCAGAGGGCTCAACCGGGAACGAGGCCCGTCAACCAGTCGCTACACCGGTGGTTCCCAACCTTCCTGATGCCGCGGCCCAACCTTCCTGATGCCGCGGCCCTTTCATACAGTTCCTCATGCTGTGGTGACCCCCGACCATAACATTATTTTCGTTGCTACTTCATAACTGTAATGTTGCTACTGTTATGAATCGTCATGTAAATATCTGACATGCAGGATGTACTTTCATTGTTACAGATTGAACATAATTAAAGCACAGTGATTAATCACAAAAACAGTATGTAATTATATATGTGTTTTCCGATGGTCTTAGGCGACCCTGTGAAAGGGTCGTTCAACCCCCAAAGGGGTCACGACCCACAGGTTGAGAACCGCTGCTATAGCGGGAGCAGGTAGGGGAGCCAGCCTCACCGCGCCCCACCAGTGGCGCCTGGGCTCGGGGAGGCCTGGACCGGGCCCCAGCGCAGGGCCGGCGGCCTTCAGGGCCCAGTTCAGTCCTGGCTGGACTAAGTGGTAGCTTTGGCAAGTGACTTCACCCCCCTGTGCCTCAGTCTCCCCATCTGTCCGCCCAGTGCGAGGCACAGCCGCTCATTCTGTCATTGGGGGGAGCAGCTCCCCTCCCTTCGTGGCTTTCGGGCGGGTATTTCGTGAGATCTACACGAGCCCGGTTAACAGGAGAAAATAACCAAACTCCGTTACGCACACACGCATGGGGAGCCACGTGCACCAGAGGATCAGCGACAGAAAGGGACCGAGGGGGCGGGGCAGGCCCACATGTAGATTCTGTCGGAGGAAACGTGTCTCCGCGGCCTTCAGCTCAGAATAGCCCACAGGCCGAGGGGCACGTGCTGGGCAGCCTTGTTTCAGCCCCAGTCCCGCCGCGGAGCCCCCTGAGGGAACCTTCTGGAAGCTGGGCTGCTCGGTTCGAAGGTCTGGCTCGCAGCCTCTTCCGGCGCCGGCGCCAGGGACAGCCTGAGACGCTCCTGGCCTGTAGCCGAGGGTCTCGGGGCCTCCTGCCACTTAAGAGACGCCTCACATCTGCGCTGTGCCTGTTGGGGTCCCCTCCCAGCCCCCCCTCAGCGCGGCTGTGGGAGAGGGCAGTGTCCTCAGCGCTCCCGCCAAAATGGGGGAGGGCCTGGGCACAGTGAGTTTGGAGGCTCAGCCAGGGAGTGGGGGAGCCTGGGAGAATTCAGGATCCCTCCAGTTTTCAGGCAGAAACAAAACTGAAAAGACAGCGAACCAGTGAACAGCCCAGGATCCAGTGCCCGCAGAGGTATTCTACTGACTACGGATTTCCTCCGTGAAATCACCCTCATTTTATCAAAGATAGCCAAATTAAGACTAATTCATTTGCAAAATAAATCAAGTTTCAATAAGTTTGGCCTGATTATTGGTATAAGTCCGGCAAGAATAGTAATTAAAACACATAGCCTCTTATTTTATTTTTAAAATATTTGTATTGATTTGA